TATATTTTATTAATAGGGAAGAAAACCTATTCATGTAACCTAGTAAAGAATTCTTATCCTAGCTTCATCTTAGTGCTTTACCAGGTAGATGCTTTACTCTGAATTCTTAAATGAAATTTCAACCTGAGGGATACCACAAATAAAGGTCGTATTGACACGAATGTAGAGTTAAGATGAGCCAGGCCTTGAGAGTTATGCTGTTTTATGTGATTTTGAAAAGTTACTTGATCTTATGAGTCTTGATTTCTCATTTACATTATGGGTATAGTAGCTCTTTCATAATGTTAACGATTATGTAAAATGTATGTGAACAAAACAAAGTTACTTTCTGGTTATACACTATTTCATGAAAAGAGCTATATGGTGTTCATCTAATTTGGAGGGGTTGTCTGAAATAGTATGGTTAAAACATAGGCTTGGTAGCACAGAGGACATTTACATGGGGGCAGCAGGTAAAGGGGCACTTCAAATGGGTAGGCTGTCGTTTTTCAACCAGTGGGAGAAAGTGAGGCCACATGGCCATTGGTCATGAACTTGAAGTCTCCCAAGGTCTTCAGCATCCCAAGAGCAGACACTAAAAGGCAGTGCTGATCTGGAATCAGGCTACTTCTCAGAGCAGAATCCCTTGTGTACTTTGAGTAAGAATCTCAGTAGCAGTTAGAATTTGCTTATATGCTCTAAGTAGTTCTCTCCAATTTCAGAATAGACTATCAGATGCTTATTTAGACAATTCAGCATAGAGCTTGGCACCTAAGTAGATCCCCAGTGAACATTCTCAATTCCACTCCATCTTTATTCTTGCCATCTACCACCCCCGCCGAGAGCATGGAGAGAAGTCATTATTGTTTCAATTGATATGAATCATACTTATTCATAGTGACTAGCTGTTTTTGTGGAGTTACATTAATCCAACAGTAATGATGGCCTAGTATTTCAGAGACAATAGGATATCTGGGAGGGGGGAGAGGAGGAAATCATTCTTGAGCAAGCCAGTATTTTTCTCTCACAAATATCAGAACATCAAACTGCATTTTGGTTTGCTGGCTATTTCTAAATTTTTTTTAAGTGTTGCAAAAGAACTTTGTTAATAGTAAAAAGCATATTTCTGGATTTGCAACATTAGTTTTAGTTTGGGCCTCCCAAAATTGAAATAGCACTTTTCTATTGGGAGATAATTATAGAATAGTTAATATTTTATTTTGAACTATTTTCTATGCTGAAGAGATAAACTAGTTTTGTCCTCGCAGGTTATGGTTTTTTTTTTTTTGATTGTGACGTAGCACCATAAAAAGTCAGTCTAGAGATAAAAATTGCACTTTGTAAGACCAGGTGTGAAAAATTTTAAGTGCTATCTGTCTTAAGTTTTCCACTTAACTTAGTCTCTGAAGTCGGCAGCTTCAACTTACTATTAACAGAGAATGTTTTCTTGCTGGGGCAACTGGTAGGATAGCAACTTCTCTTCTTCATTACAGTAAAAAAGTACTCATCTAAACATAGAGCCAGTGTTTCAAATAGCCACAAATGTAGGAAAGTACTTTTATCCTTGAAAATAAATCCTGATGACATAGTTTAAAAATATAAGTTCTTTTTACTTCTTTATTTATATACTAGAGGTCTGGTGCATAAAATTCGTGCACAGGAGGTGATGTTCCTCAGCCCAGCCTGCACCCTCTCCAATCTGGGGCCCCTCAATAGGATGGGGCCCAAACAGGCAGTCGGATATCCCTCTCACAATCCAGGACTGCTAGCTCCCAACTACTCGCTTGCTTGCCTTTCTGATTGTCCCTAACCACTTCTGCCTGCCAGCCTGATCACCCCCTAACCACTCCCATGCCAGCCTGATTGATGTCTAACTGCTCCCCTGCCAGCCTGTTTGATCCCAACTTCCCTCCTCTGCTGGCCTGGTCACCCCTAATTGCCCTCCCCTGCAGGGTTGATCGCCTCCAACTGCCCTTCCTTTCAGGCTTGGTCCCTATCAACTGCCCTCCCTTGCAGGCCTGGTGCCTCCCAACTGACCTTTCCTGCTGGCCACCTTATGGTGGCCATCTTGTGTTCACATGGGGGCAGCCATCTTTGACCACATGGGTGCACTATTGTGTGTTGGAGTGATGGTCAACCTGCCTATTACTCTTTTATTAGATAGGATAGAGGCCTAGTGCATGGGTGGGGGCCAGCTGGTTTTCCCTGAACAGTGTCCCGATCAGAGTGAGGGTTCTTTTGGGGTATGGGGAGACCGGAACAAGGGCGCCTGTGGTGGTTTGAAGGCCAGCAACCCAAGTGGAGGCCCTGGTATCTGGAATTTATTTACCTTCTACAATTGAAACTATGTAGCCTGGAGCAGAGCCAAGCCTCCTACTTGCTCTGTGGCTGGCAGCCATTTCTGTTTGGATTTGTTTACCTTCTATAATTGAAACTTTGTAGCCTTGAGTAGAGGTCTAGGCCAGCAAGGTCAGGTGGGAAAACTTGGCTTCTTCCGTTGGCTGGGAAACCCAAGCCTTCCTCATGCTCTTTGGCTGTAGCCATCTTGGTTGGGCTTATTTGCATACTTGCTCTGATTGGCTGGTGGGCATGGCTTGTGGATGTAGTAGACTGATGGTTAATTTGCATATTACTCTTTTATTAGGTAGGATGCCTGATCTGTTGAATGTTTGTGTTTTCTACTCTCCTTAGGAATATCAAAACCCCTCACAAGGCCTGAAGCTTTAAACCTGCCATGGAGAAAACCTTCTACTCCTCCCCATCTCAACACACAGGCAGGAGGCAATTCCTGCCAACCCTTGCATGACAAGGCATGTTCCCATCCCAAAACTAATACCACCTTTCTTGAGAAATACCAGGGCCCCAAGGGTCTGAGGAAGGAGAAGTCTGAGAAGGTGCATTCTCTTTGTTAAACACCTTCCCTCAGGTACGATGCTCAACTCTTGTTCTCTCCTTGGTCCACCTGGCTAGGATGTTTACACAGAACAGGACTCCCCATTCTGGCTCCTTCTGCAGCTTCAGGTCTAAGCCGAGTTGTCTGCTCAGGCTCTTGTGTGAAGCCTGTCTTCTAGATTATTGGGCACTTTCTTGTCTGTTAACCAAACTGATATACATTTTTTCCTTTTTGTTGAATTTATTGGACTGACACTGATTACATTATATAGATTTTGGGTGCAACTTCTACAACACATTGTCTGTATACTGTATTGTGTGTTCACCACCCCAAGTCAAATCTCCATTCATCACCATTTACCCCCCCCCCCCCACCCAATACCCTCCACCTCTCTCCACTCCTTCCCTCCTCCTCCCCTCCAGGCAGTCACCACATCGCTGTGTCCATGAGTTTTTTCTCTTTTTTTGCTCAATCCCTCCACACACCCCAACCCCCCCACATCCCCACCAGCTGTCACCTTGTTCTCTAGGAGTCTGGAACTGATATTTTGTTCCCCATTTGGTTATTGAGTTCACACTTCATATTCAGGCAGAATCCTGTAGAAGAGGGCTGAGTGGTAGGATTTATTTTTACTTCCAGTTTCAAAGAATACTAAAAATACTTCTAAAATGATCCTTTTAATTTGTTTTTCTTATCTGTAAAAAGCCAAAAGCAAAAGCAACAACGATCAGTCTCCCATTTGAAGACCAGAGCTTGCTCTCCTTTGAAGTTATCAATCGTTATCTTTGTGAATGTCTAAACCATTTTGCTTGGCTAATTATCAATCTGTTTCAACAGAAAAAAGAGGAAGATTAGAAATCCTTTTAAATGCTTCTTTTATTTCATTGGTTGTACATTGGGTGAGTGAACTGAATATTACAACCAAAACATAGAATTGATACAAATTAGACTCCTGTTTACACTGTAAGGTAATGAGTGAAGAAATTCTTTAAGTGTTACAGAAAGGTTTAGTAGAAATGTTACCAGTGGTATGGCTAAAAGAATATTTCAGTGAAGTGCTATTATATCTTGAAAACCAAGAGTGAAATGTAGTTCCCATACAAGTGGCGAGTTCATCTCTTAACTACAGTATTTGTTGAATTGCTATCTTCATGTCTTGGATATAGGTGATTTTGTTTTTGTACTTAAACAAAGCATTTAAGATTTATTCATCATAGTCAGACTTCTGAATATAAACAAACTTTTGGCAAATAATATTTATACAGAAAAATAGTTTTAGATCCTCTCAAATCCCAGAATTACTCTATAAAATTACATTATAAATAAATAAAAAGCAAAATCTGTTGTACATATATTTGTACATCTATGCATTTGCCTTGCCTCCTCCTTATCGTAAATGGCATATTTATGACTCTTTGCATATTATAATCACAATTCTGGAAAATGGATATCATAGTAAAAATACAGTCCTCTATATTTGCTTGGGGATACAGGTGATGTTGTTGATGCTCATTAAAGGGCTGAAAATAGTTGTGTGCTAATGATTTTTAACATCAAAATCATGAAATAAAAGAAAAAAAAATAAAGACAATGTTACAACAATTAGTCTACAAAAATATTTCAGTGATCACATAATTTACCTTTAGTAATGCATACTATGTATTCAATGAGTTTAAATGAATTAACAAAGACAAAAAGAAAAAAAGGTAAGTTTGAATGTTTTAGGCAAGTTGTAGCATAACTACATTGTTATAATTGAGAAAATTACAAATATCAGTAATACATAAAGATGAAACTACCAAAGAAATACATGTTAGATACAATACTTTCCCACAAATTAAAACAAATGTTAATGATACAAGCACTATGTAAGATTACACTTAGAATGATTGCTTTCCATAAGGTTATCAAATCTATATATAAGATAAAGAGTCATTAGACCAACATTAATTAAAATGGTGAGTTTCTTTTTTACTAAAAAGAAAAATGATATGGTTGGTGCATATAGTTTTCAGAACAGGCTGTGAGGCCAAAATTTAAAATATTTTACATTCAATCTCAAAAGTCAAAATACTTCAATCACTAATATGTTCACACACAAAAAAACAGATGTTTTAAACAATTACATTTATAACAGCTGTTTCATTTTTTTAAACAATAATTTAAAAACTACATAGGTACTGTATAGGCTATGTGCAACATATAAAATGTGAAATATGAAATATTTGGTACGATAGTGCTTAAAATAAACTTCCAAACAAACTTTCTGAACAAAATTTAATTGTATCGCTATTACCTTGAAGAACAACCAAGTATTAAAAAAGTAAACAACATTAAAATATGTTTCATCCATATATAGTATATATATGTATGTGTATATATAATATGTAGGTACTTGTATTAAAGTTTTTATACTTTTGAGACATAAAATATGCTTTAAGGTGAAAGAATTAAAAGAACTATTTTTTTCCATGCTGTAGTCAGTTACAACCCTTTAATCCAACTTTTTTTGAAATGCAGAACAGTAATGGATTTTTATAAAGTGAAACTACCTACTTTTTGTTTACATAGTAATTTAGATTAAAGTCACAGTCAAATTTTCAGTGACTAAACTCAAACTTACTTAAATTAGAATATTATACAGATCTCCTCACCTACAGCTTCCTTATTGGACTAGGTTTTTAGTTTAGAAGAGTTATTCTGTAACAGGCAAACGGATGGTGAGTTTGAAAGACTAACCCATTAGATTAGACTCTTGACATGGGCCTCTCATTCTTGTCAAGCTGGATGAAGTCTGGTAAAATCTAGGCACTTCTACAAAGTCTCTCTTATAAAACAACTTTAAAAATATACTTGTAAAATAATACCTTCAAGACTTTGTTTGGTGGGGTATGAAGCTCATACCGTGCAAAGTTTCTCTTGCATTCTAGTTAATGGTATTCTAGAATCACATGATTCAATACGGCATCTCCAGGCAAACAAAATACCACACTTTGATGTGTCCCCAGTACTTGTGCTTGAATTTCCATTCAGATTTTAGACCTGCAGGACAGGTATCGGTTTTTTACTTCACTTCTCATCTTTGCTGCAGCATTTGTGTCAAGAAGTGAAACATACCCTTTGCTCCAGTGGGAAAATGAAATGACAGTAATTGGAGTTGGAATTGAACCTGCCCTTGGAATAGGTTTCAAACTACTGCTAATTGTTTATTGCTAACTTTGAGATATTCTGAGTCGAAATGAGTAAATTGGTTGGACTTTCTGGATCAGCTATAGTTATGGAGATAAGACAATATTCCTAGGACAGAAACTATGTTTAGAAACCCTTTCAAAGTAAACTTGATCCTTTATGTCTTCAAACATCACAGCTGGTCTCAGGTAGTTAACTATCTTAGGTTGGAATATACTAAGCATACCATATTTAATACTCATATATGATATAGCAGCACTAGCTCCTTAGAGTTGTGGTCTGTCCAGAAGAACTAAATCTTTATTTAGCATGCAGTTTGTGGCAATTCTATTGAGGAGGAAACAGGATAGTATGTACAGTAACAATGTTTAGTTATTCTCAATGCAGATTCTTGGCATTCCATTCCATTTCTGCTGATTACTTCAGAATTATCTGTTAAAGAAAAAGATACACGTAATTTAGACATTCTCCTGTGAGGGGGAAAAATTAGTTTAAGTTCTACTCTTTGAAAACAGACATTTTAAAATAGGAATTTTCTTCAACTTTTCATTATTTTGATGCAATTGTAATTTTGCCCAGGCCCCACCCTTCCTGGTGAAAATTTTATACTTAAGCACTTCTGCTGTGTGATGATTCAAAAGCACAGTATTTTCTGTAAAACTGTGACAACATGTATGTGAACATACAGCGGGTTTAGATCCTAACCTTTTTTTTTCATTTCCATTTCATATCTTTTTATTATATGTTCACATTATCCTTCAATTAATATTTGCTAAAGAATTTGTACATAAAATGTTGTTCAGTAAATTTAAATATAAATATTTAAAAATGTATAATCAATTATGTGTTTTTTTTTTTATTAACTTACACTTATAATTCAAAAATGTGTTCCCAAAAAAATAAGTTTGTAAATCCAAGATATAACAACAACAAGTTTCAAATTCAGGGAATGTTAAAATGTCCCATATTAAAGTGAAAAATATAATACTCCAATAAAGCTGTTATAACATTCTTAATAATCTAAATGCACAGATACAACTAAACTATCAAATGCAAACCATGGTTTGTGGAGTTCGATCTCTAAGTTTTTTTCCAACTCCACACCCTTGCGAAGGACAGCGGGTTTGCCCTGTGTGACCCAGTCCATAAATGCCAAGCTTAGAAGTGAAACTTATAACACATTCTAACAAAAATATTTATTCTTTGTGCAATGCCTTGACCAAACTTTGTGCAATGAGTAAAGAAAATGTTTGTTTACTAAACAGTCAAGAGTATTTGTTTAGGAAATAACCAGTACAACTTTGTTGTGGTCAAGGTCAGCTAATATTCCTGCACACCACTGGAACTCACTTCTCAACACAAGCCTCATTTCTACAAATATAATTTTGTGTGCCATCATGTTAGAATTCATACATGTGGATATTTCCCTTGTTAGTGGGTGCTCCTACAGCTTATATTATAGTTGTAGTATAAACACTCAACTAGTTTCTCCCAGGAAGTAAAAGCATCTTTTATTTTATTGGAATGCACAGATGTGCACAGAATTGATAAAAGTTGAACTGATTTATATTAAACATTTATACTAAATGAAAACTCAGAACTTCAGAAATGATTATTCTTTTTTTTTTTAATTCTAGAATTTAAAATTAATTGGGAAAAATAGCATTCTTTGTTTCATATACCGATAGACAAATAAAAATAATGAGATATGGTTTTATATGAAAATATCAGTATTTTTGAACAGTCATTACAAATAGCTAATATTCAAATTCTTCAGATGGTTATATTACAACCTCAATATTAGATTTAGATTTATTAAATAGGAATTATTCTATTTCATCCCTTAGCTTCAATGATGCCTGTAAAGTTTCCAAATAAAAATGTATCCCAGGATATCAAATCATGTCCTGTTTTTCTTTCTTCTTTCCTTTTACTTTTGCAAGAGTCTCTTTAAAATAGTGTGTGTGGAGGGGGAAGGGAATCTTGTGATGTCTTAAATGAATATGCAATAATATATATTTTAGAATATAGTCACATTAAGGCTTAGTAACTGAAACGAAAATTCCGTATAGAATGGCATTTCTAACCATTTTTTAAAAAAGTATTCAACAGAGAGCCCAGTAATGAGCAAATGTATACCACAGAGATCAGTGAGAACAGTGCTTTGGACCTGAACCTGACAAAGAGACTTGTGCGGCCACCCAAGTTTAATTGAACTGTAAATCAGCTAGAAGTTAACTGAAAGCATCAACTGGACTCGCCCAGATTGCTTTCCCCCTCTGCCCCAGCATACACACGATCCATTATACAGATAAAGACATAAATAAAAGTGACTGCCACTACTATGCTACTATTGAACTCTCGGCAGTTACTACTGCATTGTATCTTGGCCAGAAAACTCTGCCATACCCTAATCTGTGTCTTTGGCTATCTGCTGGGCTCTATATGTGGCATTAAAAAAATGAGTGAGTGTGGGGGGAGGGGGTTTGAGGGGATAATGGGGGGATAAAGACACATATGTAATATCTTGGTCAATAAAGAAATTAAAAGAAAAAGGTAACCAATAAATAAATGAATAAATATAAATGAGTCAAGAGATTGGCTGTGAGCTTCAAGAAGTTCAAGAGATTAGCTTTTAAAAGATAGGAAAGGTCTGAGTGTTTATTTTCGTGATAGGATTTTTCCTGAAAATATAATTTGATTATTTTTTTTTTTTCCTGAGAAATGTAGCTTGTTTGCACAGTCTGAGTTAAGTGTACCTTGGGGTGAACTACATTCTGGAAATATAGACAGAACAGGAATCCAGATGAGGAGCAGTTACTAACTGCTACAATATGAGCTAGGCATATTATATGCCTCTGATGTAATTATTGCCTGTTTGATTTACACTTCTGATGTTGGAAGACCTGACAGGACAGGCATGGAGGCCCACGGGGAGGGCAGGACAGTTCCCAGCTGGGAGGATACCTCAGGAAGAAGGACAAGAGCCAAGTGTGTGTGCAGAGTGGGAGTGTGTGGAGAAGCCATTTTGAGGGAAAGAGATCTGTGTAGTTTTTAATACGGCTCTTTTGTAGTCAGATTGTAGTGTTGATTCGCACCAAAGAGATATGATTTAAAATAGAATGAGCGGATCTATTTTGTGTGTTTCCTGTGGTTTCTCTTTAGAACTTTCTCCATACTAGTTTTCTATGGATATATAAAACACATTCTTTACATAAAAACTTCTTCAATTTCCCCTGCAATGTTAATGGTCTTTAGAAGGTGCTTGGATATTTGAATGTAGATACAAGAGATGATTCCTAAAAGAACAGGTTTATAAATGGCCCAGGAACATGGGCTATGAGTCTGACATTGACAAACTCAAATGCTGAGTTTGTCCATTAAAAAAAAAAAAGTGTTCTTGATAGTTTGGCTATCAGTGGTGTCCTTCCTGCCTGTGCTTGTCAAAGCAGAGGCTGATTTTCAAAGCTCCTTCCTCTACCTCCAGACACTGTGGCCCATGTTTTCCTGGAAGGGCCACTTGGAAGTTCTCGTGGGGTATGTACAAGTCAGAGAACTAGGCACCATGCTGGGTCCACTAAGAGTCCCCTCTCTGAAGCATCATTAATGTCTGTTGTAATTTTAATAGACTGCATTTCCAGGAGGTGCTGAGAAATTTTTACCAGAGCCTTAGGAGCTAGGGAAGTGCTGCCAGTCTTATTTTGCAGACATGGAAAAGACAGCACAAACAGTTTTAACAGTTTCCATGATGTACCAAGGGCTTGACAGGCCAACATGAGCATAGAGATGTTAGCTCACTCTGCTTGCTTGCATGGGAGTCCCCTCCGGGCATAGTGACAGTCTGCGATGGGACTAGGGCAGTGGTTGGCAAACTCATTAGTCAACAGAGCTAAATATCAACAGTACACAATTGAAATTTCTTTTGAGAGCCAAATTTTTTAAACTTAAACTTCTTCTAACACCACTTCTTCAAAATAGAATCGCCCAGGCCGTGGTATTTTGTGGAAGAGCCACACTCGAGGGGCCAAAGAGCCACATGTGGCTCGTGAGCTGCAGTTTGCTGACCACGAGACTAGGGGAAACAGTGATTCCAAAGAGCATGTCTGTACCTCTTACAGTGCCAATGGAGGTGGGTGTTTAGACCTTCCCTGAGAGCTTGGGAATCAAGGAAAGGGTAGACAATAGCGGAGGGCCTAGAGCAAAGGGAGGCTGGAGCACTAACTGTCTGGGGGAACAAGAGGGAGAGAAATTGCTGAGGGACTTGTTGGGGCTGCTGGGCCACTCCACAGAGCATTCTGGCCTGGGTGGCCGACCAATCCTCTCCCAGGCCTTCTCCAGATGGATGCTGCAGACTTATCTGCTCACAGCAGCAGACACTCCTATCCAAACATAGGGCCGCTGCTTATGTTAATTTCCATTCATCTCCCTGATGGACTAGCCCCTCAAATAAGTATTATTTTGTATAACAGAACCATGACAAAGAAGGAAGTTGAAGTATTGAATAGGACCAGCCAATCTACTGTGGTAAATCAAAATCTTGAACTGGGAGCATTATTTTCAATTCCTTTTCCACTAAAAGGAGGACACACAAAAATGGGAATAGCTGATGCCCACAAAATCAGCAATTCTATTTTTAAAACAAAGGCACATTTGATTTAAATTATGAGTGCTTTCATAAATCTTTAGTGGACTATCTATTATAACAAGAGTATCTATGATGCAAATATGAGTTGGCTGCAATAGTGTGTATTTATTAACAAGCATCTCCTCCAGGTGATTGGATTTAAGAATTGGATGATTCTGCTTAATTCACATCCATAAGTTACTTCCATATGACCCAATGCACACTTAGTCTTATTTTTGTTTACTTAAGACAAAGCATGGATGGTCCCAAAGAACATCAAATGGGTTGTTCTCCCATTAAACGTGTTGTAAGCAACGATTAAAACTCCCTGCAACCTCAGTGAAGTTCCTACCATTGACTAATAGTGCAATGGCAGTCAAGCTTGTTAAACGAGGGCAGGTTGGGTTAGGTAAAGCCTCAATACTAAGCCTCTGGGACCAGGCAGGAAAGGTCCATGAGTGAGTGGGTCAGGTAGGGAGTCCCATTCATCTTTATATCCCTAGTGTCTAGGTTAGGGCTGGGTACATAGGAGGCACTTAGTAACTGCTGGTTGCGCAGAGGGCGGAATCAATAAGATTTACTGAGGACATAATGCCACAATGTTGGCATCAACAGAAAACTAGTGGACCATTCACAAGTGAGATGTAGCCATGGAGGCAGGAAAAGAACCTTTTAAAGAGTCTACACATAAACATTCCTTCCCATTCCTCCACTCCAGTTATATATAGATAAAAGAAAAAATATTCTAGGCTGGGGGCAGAGTCACTCACAGGGGGTGGAAACACGGCAGATAAACTTAAATGCCACC